CCCATTGGCCCTTCCGCATATCTCTGAGTGGCCAGGCGCCTCCTCCTGGCTGAGCCAGCATCCGGTAGCAAACTGTAGGTGGCCAAGAACGCAGAGAAGATTCATTTACCTAAACAGAGTATTTTAAAGCACTGAATAAAATCTCTTCTACTTCGCAACATCTTAAAATGTTTCACAATGAAAACTTAAAATATCAGTCAGAGGACCCCATGTTGGGATGGTGTTTTTAAAGGCATTTGGTCCCGACCCTGTCCACCTGAGTTTGATCTACTGGACCCATATGGTGAGAAGCCAGAATTGACTTCCACAAGTTGATCTTTGATCTTCACACTCACACTATCGCACAAACGCACCCACACATACAAACAATAAGTAAATGTAAAAAACTAAAAACACGTATTGATTGTGAGGAATTCAGTAGGACAGCAGATGATTGAATTTAGCTAATTATATCAACTGGACTGGTAGTGTTAACTAAAATACAGCCATTCGAGGAGATGGCTCGGAGGTTAAGAGCACTGGCTGTTCTCAAAAAGGTCCTGAGTTCAATTCCCAGCAACCACACGGTGGCTCACGACCATATATAATGAGATCCGGTGCCCTTTTCTGGCGTACAGTAATAAATAGATATGTCTTAAAAAAAAAAAAAAAAAGCAGGCATATCTCTGAGTTCCAGGTCAGTCTGATCTACAAAGTGAGTTCTAGAGCAGCTAGAGCTACACAGAGAAACCCTGTCTCCAAAAACAAGACAAAACAGACACAGGCTAAGAAAATTGGCTCAGGGAGTTTACCAACAAGCCTGATGACTTACCTGAGTTCAACACACACACACACACACACACACACACACACACACCCCCCAAATAAATAGTGGAGGAGAGAACTGGCACACGTAGTTTTCCATAACGTCAATTTTATTGGACAATAATGAACACAGAAGGCACAGTGGCTTCAGTGGGAACAGTATGCACAGCTGTCCAGATTCCTTTGATATTGAGCTAAAGAAGCAAACATAAGTTATTTTATTCCAAGCTTAATTATGGTTATTAACTTTTGAGATTACAGATTTCACATCACACAATGAATCTATTTATCTACGTGTAGGCTACTGCATGTCTACAGTGAGTCCAGGGAGTTCCAAAGTGCCTGGAGAGGCAGAAGCAGAAAGCGGATAGGGATGACAAGAGTCCCTGGGGTGGGTATGAGTCAAATTAGCAACTGCTCTGTGATGTTACCTTCAACCTATGAACCCATGAATTTATTGGGGTTACTAACAGGAGCTACCTTACTAAAAGCCCACCCCAAAAGCCATCACTGGGTGATGACTCAGGAAGGCTGGAGCCCTGGAGCTCTCTGCATGATTTGCAGTTAGCTGGGTAGGTCTCCCCTTCTCAGCGGTCCTTACTGCTTATGTAATCTTTGGGGAAGGGGGTGGGGGTGCATCTTGAGAAGCTGGTTTCAGGGACATCTTGAGACTTGTGAGTTGTTTTGTTTGTTTGTTTGTTTGAGTGGGGAGCATTGTGACAGAGTTTCTCTGTGTAGCCTTGGCTGTCCTGGATGCTCTTTGTAGACCAGGCTGCCCTCTAACTCACAGAGATTCACCTGTCTTTGCCTTCCCTAGTGCTGAGATCACAGAGGAGCACCACCACACCACCACACCCGTGCCAGGACCTGGCTGCTTCCCAAGTCTTAAGAAGGCCCTCTCTCTCTCTGGGGTGGAATGTTTCAATATCTTTTATTTACCCCTTGACAAATGTATACATGTCTATGATGTATTTTTATTTAATTCACATCCATTAGCTTCTCTTATCCCCCTTTTTCCGAACAAGCACCCCTCATAATTTTATGTCTTTTTAATGACTTGTTGAATATAATTAAGCTTACTTGCATGAGCACAGGTGTCGGGTCATTTATTGGAGCTCAGGCAACTTCCCACACTGACAGACATAGAGACCCTCTTTGCTGAATACATGTCAAAGAAATGGCACTTAAGTCTTTTAAAGACCTTGAAGCCCTGGAAAAGATGCCTTCACAAAAGGAAGCCCTTTTCTAAATTCTCTAGGAATTTAGCACCGTTCTAATTGAGGTTGTGCTGAGCCTGCTGGGAGCCTCTGGACTGCTCATCTCCTGAGCAGAGGTTGTCTTTGGGCCTGCTTGCAAGGTGTGCCGGGAGCCTCAAGGCTGGTTATCTCTAGAGCAGAGCTTAAGTCCCAGAGTCTGTCTAGGAATGTCCTTGGCACAAGCTTAGCACTATTTAATAATGACAAAACTTCACTGTAATCTAAAACCCCCACCCTTTTTGAGACAAGATGTCACTATATAGCTTTGGGTGGTCTAGAACTAACTGCGTACATGTAGTGGGCTGGCCTCGAACTCAAAGAGATACACACAAGGCATGTGCCCAATTACTAATCATTGCCCCCCACCAACTTTTTATTGATTCTTTGGGAATTTTACATCATGCACTCCTGTCCTGCTCATCTCCCCGTCCCCTCATATCCACCCTTCGCTCTTGCAACTTCCTCCAATAAAACAAACCAAACCAAACACAAAAAAACATCTTATCGTAGAAGCTGTAGTATGTTACAGTGTGTTTCCCAGTATATCCCCCTTGTCCATACATCTTCACTCTTGGGGGTTGGTCTGGTGCTCTGTGTAGTCAGATGCTAAATACTAGCCCCAAGATCTGTTTGCTATCCAGACAAGTACATTTTTGTGTACATTGAATGATGTGCAAACTTTGCTCCCTTATTATTGCAGATTGGCTAATAAAGAAAGGCTAGCGCCTGTAGCTGGGCAGAATAAAGGTAGACTGAGCTTCGGTTCCTGGGCTTAGGTTCTGAGGAAGGGACCACAAGGTGGGAAGAGAAGCAGAGGAGAGACAAGGAAGAGGATGGAGAAAAGAGGAAGTGGCCTGATGGAGCAGATCCAGCCCATCATTAAGACAGAGACCTCTTGATGTATTGCAAATGCTGACTCGTAGCAAATGTTCATTGCAATAAGTTATTGGTCTGGTTTGAGATGTTTGGCTTCTGTGACACCATCAGGATTGGATCCTTATTGGGACTCCTCCTGGTTATCCTGTTGTTGCCTGGAGTCATGGAGATCCTGCCGCTTTAGAACAGCAAGATTGGCCCTTTCATGAATCCCAACCATTTGCAGATGATATAGATTTTGGGGTAGGCCAATTCAGAGCCATGGATCTGGGCCTAGATGATAGCTGAGCTGGTCAGCCCACCAGTTCTTCCTTACCCACAACACCAGGGTGAGCTCTCCTGCACTGCTTCAACTAGGTCACCCAACACCATTGGCAGGAGGCAGGGTCAGCTCTCCTGCTCTCATGCCCTAAAGGGCCTGCTCACCTGGCACCCAGGGCTCCAGAGCCAGCTCCAGTGTGCTGGCCAGTCAAGGTTCCTTCATTCCAGGCCCACTCTCCCAACTGCTGCAGCCTGTGAGGGGTCGAGACAGCTCTCCCCTCTCACATCCTGGGGTCTGGCTCACATGTGTCTTTGCCATCAGAGCCAGCTCCACTGTATTGCCCAGGTGAGCTGCAGTGCTCTCTCAAGCACTACAGCCAGTAAGGGGGCAGGGCTAGCTCTCCAGCTCTCATGACCCCAGGGCCAGTTCTTCCAACTGACAAAGGTAAGGGTTGTGGGGAGACAGGGCATTACCCTGGCACCCATGCAGATGTGGCACTCACTGACAGATGTGTGGCAGGGCCAGCTTTCCTGAGCTCTCACTCTAGGGACTGGCTCACCTGTGTCCCCCTGCCACCAGGGTCCGCTCTGCTGTGCTGTCTAGATGAGGTGCAGGGTCTCCTCTCCTGAGTGCTCCAGCTGGTGAGGGTCAGGGATAGCTCTTCTGAACTGGTGACTCTTTGGGCAGCTTTCCCAACTGCTGGTGGAAAGGGCATCACCTCTGTGTCCATGCCACCCACGGCTGATGAGTGGCAGGGTCAACTCACACACACTCACACTCTCAGGGCTGAGTTACCCCACCCCCACCCCCAGGACCAGCTCCACTGTGCTGCCCTGGTCTAGGCACAAGGCCTGCTATCCCTATCTGGAGTGCTGTCACTGGTCAGAGTTGGGGCTAGGTCTCCAGAGCATCCAGTGAGGGGCGGGGCCTGTTATGGACAGCCCCTCGACATGCAGGTGGTCCATGGTGGCTGCCCCCACCCCCATCCTCATGTTCTCTTGTTGGGGTAACTTTCCTTCACATTGTGTGAAGGAATGTCCCATATTTTATTTCTTCTTTATTATTTTATTATTGTGCATCACTGTTTTGTCTGCATGTATATCTGTGTGAAGGTGTCAGAAGCTTTGGAACTGGAGTTACAGACAGGTGTGAGCTGCCGTGTGGATGCTAGGAATTGAACGAGAGTTCTCTGGAAGAGCAGCCAGTGTTCTAACTGCTTAGCCATATCTCCAGCCCCAATGTCCTGTATTTTCAATTGTTAATTCTGTACAAAGTGCTGGCATGTATCATCAATTCTATGGCCCATCACCAAGTTTTCTATTTTGGAAATGTTCATCTTTCCTCACTTGCTTAGAGGCAATCTAAAAGATGTTCAAATGTTGTAGAAGGTGAAATTTCCTGTACGAAGAGGGACGCCGGGAGAAGAAGGCAAAGGTGTGGGAAGCAGACGTGAGAACAGATGGACATGAACGGGAGCAGAGAGCTAGCCACATGACAGGTCATAGGGAAAAATAGTGAAATCAATCAACTATATAAAAGTCTCTGTGAGGTTATTTATATTGTTGATGAGTCTGAGAAAGTTCCACTGTATTTTCTAGTGGTAATATGAGACGCGGACACCAACCCTTCCTGCTGCACAGCCATGGACTCAGACATGGCCCTCAGTGGCAGCTTGGGCTGGGACCTCCCCGTGGCCCCAGGTGGCTGTCTGGTCATTCCTTACAGGCTACTCCTCTCCACCCTTGAGTCTCCCGTTCCATCTCTATTCGTAATGCTCATGCTACTCCACTTCTCTTGATTTGTTACGAGTCCTAGGCCCAAGAGAGCTTTGGCCACTAAGCCAGGCATCAAGATAGGATGAACAAAGGGCTTCATCTGCTCTGCCCCTGGCTGATATAAAGAAAACACCACCTATAAGGTATATCTTTGCCCATTGCCAGTGGGCACTATTCATTCCTTTTAATGTTTATTTTTCCTGTAAATAAGGTAAGATACTAGGGGGCAGGGAGTCCTGAACTGACTCGTTAATTGACAAGTGCTGGATTATAGTGCTTAGCTTCCTAGAGTGGAGAACTGACAGCTAAGCAGCCCCTACCTGTGTGATGCTTTCCGACACCCCCCCTTTGAGACAGGGTTTCTCTGTGTAGACCTGGCTGACCTGGAATTCACTGTGTAGACCAGGCAGGCTGGCTACAAATTCAAAGATCCACATGCATCTGCCCCCTGAGTGCTGGGATTAAAGGTGTTCACCACCACTAGCTACTGTGAGGAATTTTTTTTTTTTCTTTATTTGAAAGATCTCAGATAACTGAGGAAGCTACATTATGACCACAGCTTGCTGCATAGGCACAAGTCCAGTTCCAGAAGGCACTGGATCACTTAACACAAGTTTCAAGTAGCTTGTATTCACTATTTTGCCATTAAAAGCCTGGGTTGAGGGGCTGGAGAGATGGCTCAGAGGTTAAGGACACTGGCTGTACTTCCAAAGGTCCTGAGTTCAATTCCTAGCAACCACACGGTGGTTCATAACCATCTATAATGAGATCTGGGGCTCCCTTCCGGCCTGCAGGCACATATGCAGGCAGCATATATTGTTTAAATAATAAATCTAAAAGAGAAAGAGAAAAGAGAGCCTGCGTTGAGACTAGGGAGGTGGCTTAGCTGATAAAGTGGTTGCTTTGGAGGCACAAGGGCTGGAATTTGAGCCCATGTCTTTCTGTAGACTTCTACAGTTTTCAGAAACAATATGTGTTCTGAATAGTTTTATGTCAACTTGACACATCCCTCACACCTTCCTCATCTCAGAGGAGGGAGCCTCAATTGAGAAAATGCCTCCCTAAGATCAGGCTGAACACAAATTTGTAGGGAATTTTCCTATTGATTGATGGGGGCAAGGCCCAGCCTATTGTGGGTGATACCATTCCAAGGCTGGTGGTCTTGAGTTCTATAAGAAAGCAAGCTGAGCAAGACATGTTGAGCAAGCCAGTAAGCAACAACCTTCCATGGCCTCTGGATTATCTCCTGCTTCCAGGTTCTGTCCCTGTTTGAGTTTCTGTCCTGACTTCCTTCAGTGATGAGTGGGGCTGTGGACGTGTAAGCAAAATAAACCCTCCCTCCCCATCTTGCTTTTTGGTTATGGTGTTTTATCGAAGTAACACAATTCCTAAAACAAACTGTGGGGTGTTGCTGTGACAGACCTGGCCATGAGAGGAGGACTGTGAAAGGACTTTAGAACTTTGTGCAAGAAAAGCCATTGAGTATTTAATGCTTGGTGAGCTGTTCTGTAGGATCTTGGACGATAAGAATGTTGACGGCAGTGCAGAAAATGGAGGCCTGGCTTGGTAAGTTTCAGAGATTGCTAAGTTTTAAAGATTCTATTGGGGACATTTGTTATTCTGAATTAAGATTCTGTGATTCTGGTTAGGTGTAGGGCTGAAGAATCAGCTGTGATTAACAAGATACCAGAACTACTAAAATGAAACCTTCGCTTTGCTTGGATACTCAGTGCTGTTTGGCTGGAGCTGACAGGAAGAAACTGGCATCGCTGAGGTAAATTTTTCTAAGAAGTGTTTCCTGAAAGCTAACAGAAGTTGTGTTCCATAGGCAGCCAAGATTGTACCTCGTACTGGCATGTGGACGTGGTAATGTATAAGAGTCAACTAGGTAGTACAGGTTTTGAAGACATGAAAGGGGTCATGGAGAGCAGCTGAGGCTTGGCACTTTGAGAGGCCAGGAGAGGCCATTGGTGAAGTTACAGCCTCAGCTGATGCAGGATATTTGATTACACTGTGAACCCCGAGATTGTGTTATTTACTGGAAAAACCTGTTTCTAGTTGTGATATGGTACAGTCCTAGCAAACACCTTTAATTCAAGAGCTTTCTGCTTGAGTATTGTAAACAGGATTAAATAAAGTCAACCATAGACCAAAAGGCAGAGCAGGCAGACATTTGACAGGGAGTGTATATGGAACTATTAAAGAAAAACCATCAAGAGTAAGAGGAAGTCAAGAGAATGGACAGAAATGAACAGGAAGTAGAAGGCAGGGACATTCAGTCTGAGGATATTGAAGACCATATGGAAAAGGAGAGATTCCTTATGAGAAACATCTGCTGAAGAGGAGGGTCCTATCTTATCAATAATAATAAAGATGTTTTAAACTCCCCAAACTTTCTCTGCCTCTCTGAGCTACCCCAGCATCTGGCTCCTGAGTCTTTATTGGTAAAATCGAATGATTGAGATTTTATTAAAAACAACAGTCGATAGTAGTTTAAAAATAAACAGGATATAAAATGTAGAGATAAACCCACATAATTTTTTTAAATTTATTTTTATTTTATGTACATTGGTGTTTGGCTGCAGGTATGTTTATGTGAGGGTGCTGGATACCCTGGAACAGGAGTTTCAGATAGTTGGGAGCTGCCATGTGGGTGCTGATAATTGAACCCGAGTCCTCCCAAAGAACAGTTAGTGCTCTTAACTGCTGAGCCATCTCTCCAGCCCCTAATTCATTCATTCATTCATTCATTCATTCATTCATTCATTCATTCATTCATTCATTCAAGATGACTGTTAAGGTTGTACCCTCCATGAGGCTGAAGAGATGGCTCAGTAGTTAAGAGCACTTGGCGCTCTTCAAAGGATCCTGGTTCCCTTTCCGCACCCCATGGCAACTAACAACTGTGTCTATAACTCCGTTTCCAGGGGATCTGATGCCCTCTTCTGGCCTCCAGAAGCACCCACATGGTGCACAGCCATACATGCATTCGAGACAATAATACACACACAATAAAATAAAGTTCTCTGCCTCAGTCAGTGAACTTGGCCTTGTAGGCTCTCACCTAACTTCGCAAGGTCGTAAAATAAACTGCCTTCATCTTACTGCTGAGTCTGCAGTGGCTTATTACAAAGTTAAGATGTTGTTTCTTAGGCACAGTGGCTCAAAGCTGTCCTCGGCCCCCCCCCCCCCCACGCGCGTACGCACATACAATAATGACAAAGATGTTTAAAACCCCCAACAACTAAAACCAACAGAACCATCACCACTACAACCAACAAGAAGCCTTTAGTGAAAAGCTCCCTGGAGGGCCTGCCTTTTGCACCTCTTCCAGGGAAGTCTGGCTACACCTACCGCCGAGCCTCTTCACCAGGCGCACGCCCCTGTGTGCAAGCCAGCGTCTCACCCCACGCGTGCGCACTGGGTCCTCTGGCTGGCCGCTATGGCCTGGCCCGGAAGTCTGTGGCACGGAGACGGCTCCGGCCCCCATTCTTATCCTAGAGCGGCTACGGACGTCCTCCGGGTGGAGCCTCGGGCAGCTTCCGGCCGGGGTGTGCGGCGGCGGTGCGGGCTTTGTGGCCGCCCGGGGTTGCGGGGCCGGGTGCCGGCAGTTTTCTCGCCGCCGGGCTCCGGGTGAGTGGGGCGGCTCGGCTCCCACGGGTGGGCAGGCTCTTGGCCGGCGGGGCTCAGCGAGTTAGTCGGTGCTCCCGGCCCTGCTGCCCTTCGCTTTTGCGGGTGTCCGCATCTTCTCGCTCGGTTCTAACCGGAGCCCAGCGTCTTCTGGCCGAGCTGGGCGTGGTAGATGCTTGGACCGGTCCGCGGACTTCAGGGGCTGCACTCAGCCTCGGTGCCTGCAGGTCCGGCCTCCATGTGGCTGCTTGAAGGCTGGCTGCTCAGGTGATGGAGTGCAGGTGCGTGCATCGCTGCTGTTTTGCTTCCCTCAGGCCTTTGGGCCTCTGCCCGAGGAGATGCAGAGCAGGCACTCCAGTGCGTCAAGGGTTGCAGATAAGGTGGATTTTGGACAGGATCAGCGCCGTGTGACCTGAAGGAGGATTCCCAGGTAGGGTCAGGTGTCAGCCAAGCTGTTCTAGCTTTTCCATAAAGTGTGTGAGTCAACGTCTGTGACATCTCGGTGGTAATGCCAGGGACATTTAATCATCTTTGCACCCTGCCGCATCGTGGTCCAGGAGCCCCAGGGCTTGAGTTATACGCTAGAGGTTTCCCGTTAGCAGAAGTATGGTTTTAAATTCAGGCAGTTTCTGGGTGGGTCTGATATTCACAGTCGCCCTGTGCTCTCACAGACATCCTTTGAGACCCATCCCAATGAATGAGAGAAATAAATGTCTTATGCTCATGAAGAAATCAGAACCCCTCACCCCAACACACAATTCATACACTTACACATTAAGTTTATGGGAGTGCCTCACTCCTAATTAGCATACAGCAGACCTTTGTTTCTGTCAGGGATGTGGCATTTTATCTTTTTTAATACTCGCCATAATGAGGGCATCTCTTTTCTTTTTTCCTTCCTTTCTTCCTTTTTTTTTTTTTTTTTTTTTCCAAGACAGGGTTTCTCTGTGTAGCCTTGGCTGTCCTGGACTTGATTTATAGACCAGGCTAACCTCGAACTCACAAAGATCCACCTGCCTCTGCCTCCCCAAATGCTGGGGTTACAGGCCTGCACCACCTTGTTTGGCTGCAGGCATCCCTCCCTTTTCATGGGAAGTACAGAGAAACTTCACAAGCTGGTACATGCAGCTCTGGATACTCCTGGAGCTTTGGGGTGGATTCCTGGTTCTGTAATAGTTTGGAGTATGATATATAGAGAAGGCAGACCTGGGAAAAACTCCTACAAGAATTATGATCTGATCTGGAGGTGGAAGGGATGCCAGAGAAGCAGCAGGCCAGAACACCAGAACACAGTGGTGGTCTTGAAGTAAATCAGAGTGCGCCTCCTGACTGCATTTTTGGGTTATGGAAGATGGCTGCTGAAAGGCCTCTGGGCTTGTTAGGAAAAGAACCTTTTGTCAATGGGAGCCTTTATATGTAGCTACTAGGGGTAGAGGTTGGAAGAGGAGCCCTAAGAGGGCAGAGAGCCACTGGTTGTATTCTTTTTGATCTCAGATAAGCTGCCTCTGCTAAACTTATGGATGGTTGTGAGGAGAAGAGGAGACAAACATGCTTTGCACACACAGCACTCAGCTACCTCCACAACTTCAGTGGCACATGCATGGATTTCTAAGGAGGTGGGTGTTGAAGCCCACTTGCCTGTTAATCCCAAGGCTGAAGCTGTGCAGACTTTCCTGCCCCTATTTGATTTTGTGTGTGGGGGTGTTCTGCCTGCATGTAAGTCTGTCCATCATGTGTGTGCCTGCTGCCTTCAGAAGCCAAAGCAGGGCATTGGATCCCCTAGAATTGAAGTTACAGAGCTGTGAGCTGCTATGTGGGTGATGGGAATTGAACCCAGGTCTTCTGGAACAACAGCTAGTGCTTTTAACTGCTAAGCCATCTCTCGCCTCCAAATTGCTGATTTTGAGATAAATGTTCCTTAAAGCAGTTATATTTTATTTAAGAAGCTTGCCCTAAAATAAGAAATTATAAAAGCACAAAGAGGCACACATGGTCTTAAGCTATTCTTGTAAATAGATGCAGGCTTGTTTCCAGGTCCCATGGTCATTTTAGGTATGCTATAAGGGGCTAAGGTATAGCTCATTGGTGGAGCACTTGCCTAGCATGCGTAATATCCTGAGTTCCATTCTTAGCACCACATTAAAAAAAAAAAAGTCAGAAGGTAGCAGTGATTTCTAAAACAAAGCACATGCCCATTTTTTTCTAGACGTTGAGTTTCAGTGTGCAGATTTCTTCATGATACTGATTCTGTCTATCTCTAAGCAAAAAACCCTGTAAAACCAGCATGTATTTATGAAGGATAAAGTCTCTCAAACCAGGACATGGACTCTGGGTGTAACAGACCTGGATTTGAATCTTGAGTCCGCACCTGCCTGGGCTAGTGATCTTGGTTGATCTACTTTCTCGTCTAGTCAATTTTCCCTCTGTAAATAGTGCAGCTGTCTACTCTGTGGCACAGGTTAGGCGTTGCTGGTCCCTTCTAAGCACTGTGGCTGGCTGGGTTGCCTTGGACATCCTTATTGCCGAGTGTCAGTTAGACTCTGGTGCCACTGCCTGGCAGCACTGCCTTGCTGTAGCTTCAGATGTTTGGAAGCTTAAAGCTTGCTTGGAGCAAAGGAGAGCAGTGGCCCCTGGGAAAAGGTAGTTCTTAAAAGGGGTGATGGGGAGGTTGAACTCAAATGTCCAGCGAGTGACTCAAGTGTTTCTGCTGATTCATCTACCTACTTGGGGAAGAGTGCTGGTAGTAGCGGATAGGAGAGCCTTGAAGGTTTTTAAATAGAAAGTCATCATTTATGCTTTTAAAGGGTCATCCTGCTGGCTTTGTAGAAAAGCAACAGAGAAAGGGACAGGCTAGAAGATTGTCACCCTTGAGTGTTGAGAAATAATAACAGAAGACAGCCTTGAGCTTTTGAGTCAGGAGAGGGTTGCAATATAATGGCCTGGTCTAAAGGTCTGCTAGTGGTTTGGATATGGGTCATGAATGAAAGTAAAGGTAGTCGCCAAGTGGTGGTGGTGGTGCACACTTTTAATCCCGGCACTGGGGAGGCAGAGGCGGTTTGAGGCCAGCCTGATCTACAAGGCTGTTAGGCAAAGAAATCTTGTATTGAACCCCCTCCGCCCCCCAAAAATAAAAGGAAATCAAGGGTTATTGGACAGTTATGGCCTGAAGAAATACAGGGTGGTGGAGATTTCAGGACCAGACTTAGCAGAAGTCAGAAGGTTGAGACCTGAGATTTGAAAACCCAGGCTTTTCAGGGTAAGAGCTAGTGAAATATCAAAGCTGGGGAAGAGCCCAGGTGCAGGAAGAAGAACATTTTCGGCAGTGGCTACCATCTGTCTGCCAAGATGGGTCAGTAGAGATGGGAAGAGGTAGGTAGTGAGGGAGAAAGCCAGTAGAGGCTGTCCCAGGAACACTATGACAAGGTGACTTCATGAGTAAGTCATTGGATGATAGATGCTGCCGGAAGTGGGGTTGAATAAGTGGGCAGAGTCTGACTCCATGAGGTCCCTTCCATAAGAAGGGAACGGATATACAAAAATAAACTCAGTGACCATTGAGTGTCATTGTGAAGGAGAGGTCGGAGCGTAGCTGGAGAGGAAATCGAGCTCAGGAAGTTAGGTTGGTATTCTTGTTCTGTGAGACAGGATATTGATATGTTCCCCAGAATAGTTCATCCTCCTGCCTCAACGTTCAAAGTAGAAATGTAAAGAGACTAGATGTATATGCCATTTAGTTTTTTAAATGAGATCTTGCTATTCTACCTAAAAGTTATGTCAAGGCTCTCTTTTCCCTACTATGTCAAATCTAACATTCTTTTTCCAATTATGTGTATGATGTACGCTGATTTGGAATGGCAGGCTAGAGGGGGAGAGAAGTGTCTGTCTCAGGAGGGAGGGAATGATGGCTGGATGAGATGGAGTGGGAGAGGGTCTTCAGCAAGGGGAGGTGAGGACCTTTCGGGTCGAATACAGCTTGACTCATGAAACAAGGAGGCTAAGGGATAGGAAAAAAGTGTTAGCCATTTTAAATATTTGTTTTATGTATATGAGTGTTTTATCTGTATGTATGTATGCATGTGTGTGTGTATGTATGTATGTATGTATGTATGTATGTATGTATGTATACCACATGTGGTCCTGGTGCTCATGGAGGTCAGAAAATGCCATCAGATTTCCCAGAACTGAACTTACGGGCAGTTGAGAGCTGCCATTGTTTTGTGTACTGGAAACTGAACTTAGGTCCTTTGCAAGAGCAGCAAGTACTCCTAACTTCTGAGCCATCTCTATGGCTCCACTGATGAGCTTTTAAAAAGAAGGAGAGTTGGGTGAGAGTAGAATATGACTGATACACCCTTAGAGTATCAGGGCTGTAGATGTAGAGAGCACTTGGTCAATGAGAGTTCAGACAAATCCAAAACAGGTTGAATCTAGCCAGGGCTGGGTCTCACACAAGGTGACAGAAAGAAAAAGTTGCACGAAGAGGAATCTATACTCTTCCCTCACTCTTCAGCTTCTGAAGCCAAAGGATGCTTGAGTTTCTTCCTTAGAGTGTTGGGAGTTGCCAGAGTGATGACACATACTTTTAACCTCAGCAATGGGAGGGCAGAAGCAGGTGGCTCTCTGTGAGTTTGAGACCAGCTTGGTCCATATAGTGAGTTCTAGGCCAGGGAGTGCCACATAGTGAGACTCTGCCTTAAAAACAAAAAACATAAGTGTAAAGGTGAATATGGCACACCTTTAATCGTAGCACTTGGGAAGAAGGGGCAGGCAGATCTCTGAATTCAAGGCCAGCCTAGTCTACAAAGCGAGTATAGGACAGCCAAGGCAACACAGAGAAACCCTGTCTGGAAAAAAAAAAAAAAAGTGTAATGTTTGCGTGCCATCTACCCCGCTTTCTGTCCTTTAAATTATCTCTATTGCTTATACCTAATACATTGTGACAGCTAGGTAACTATGTTGTTTTCAAGGAATAATAACCCCCCACCCAAAAAAAGGGGAGTGTACATGTTAAGTACAGATATAGGGTTTTATGTTTGTATTTCATTTTGTTTATATTTTATCTGAGGTACAGAAATATTTTATTCGGATACAGAACCCAACAGTTTATAGGGCTAAGTATATAAAGTATTGAGAATTTTGCCAATGAGGCCTAGGACATGAATGGCTGGAGTCATTCCAATCATCAAGGGATTTCATTGAGGGAATTAGATTATAAGGCCACTGAAAGGGTGAGAGATTGGAAGTATGGAGATCCTAACCCAGGTTCTTGGCTTTAAGGTCAGTCACAGTAGGTCAGAAATGCTACGCTGCTGCTAGTACTGAGGCCTTGCATGCTACAGATAGCCTAAAGTGAGGCCTATGCTGTGGATCATGAGATGCAGGCTGGGTAGGGACAAGATACAGAATGTGAATGAGGGTGGTGGGTAGTAGGATTGATGAATTTTATTTGAGTGATCTTGGAGTTACATGTCTTGGTTTTTAAATAGAGTCCTGACTATACCCCTATCCCTCTGTCTCCCACACAGGACACAAGTTAAAGGAGTGCTATGTCACACAGGGCTATTTGTCCTTGGGTTGGACATGTTAGGTGGAACCACAGGAAACCTTAACATGTGGATGATTGGTTGGGGCAAGATAAAGCTGGTCCTAGTGAAGGGTCAGAAATGTGGGCAGAGGAAATGTTCCCTCTCTCAGTTGGATGATGGTTTATCTTTACACCTTCAGCCAGTTCAGCAGCTCCTTGTTGACAAAGGAGAAAGACCACTTTCTCTCTCTCATTTCAGGTTCTACTGTAGGAACTAATGGCGAGAAGGTGATCCTGAAGCCTGAGTTTCTGGGGAGGAAAATTCACATAAGATGATGTCTGACAAACTCACTGTGCTAGAGCCCTCTGCCTCTGAGTCCGGGGAATTCCATGAAGACAGATTAGCACAACTGTTGGGGAACCCAGACAGACAGAGCCTGGAGAGTCCCCCGTCTCAGGACGGGGCCTTCAAACAGATGACAGTGACCCACTGGAAAATTCAAACAGGAGAAACCGCCCAGATGTGTAGTAAGTCAGGAAGAAATCCTATTCTTAACTCAAACCTTCTTATACTTCAGAGAGAGCTTATAGAAGGGGAGGCTCATTCTTGTGGTGTTGGTGGCAAAAGCTTCCCGTTCAATTCAGCTGTAGTTCCGCACCAGCTTTCTCACACAGGGGAGAAGCGGGTCCACTCCGGGGACAGACTCTATGTGTGCAACGTGTGCGGGAAAGAGTTCATTCACTGTGCAAACCTAGCTGAGCATCGGCATGTGCATACAGGAGAAAAGCCGTTCAAGTGTGCACAGTGTGGAAAAGCGTTCTGTCACAGCGCAGACCTCCTCCGGCACCAGAGAGTTCACACCAGAGAGAGGCCCTTTGAATGCAAAGAGTGTGGGAAAGGCTTCAGTCAGAGCTCCTTACTCATTCGCCATCAAAGAATTCACACAGGAGAAAGACCCTATGAGTGTAACGAGTGTGGGAAATCCTTCATTCGGAGCTCCAGCCTTATTCGGCATTACCAGATCCACACAGAGGTAAAACAGTATGAATGTAGAGACTGTGGGAAAGCCTTTCGACACCGCTCAGACCTCATTGAGCACCAGAGAATTCACACTGGAGAGAGACCCTTCGAGTGTCATGAGTGTGGGAAAGCCTTTATTCGAAGCTCAAAGCTCATTCAGCATCAGAGAATTCATACTGGAGAGCGGCCTTATGTATGCAATGAGTGTGGGAAGCGTTTTAGTCAGCCATCCAACTTCACTCAGCATAAGAGAATCCACACTGGGGAAAAACTTTATGAGTGTAATGAATGTGGGAAGGCCTTCTTTCTGAGTTCATACCTTATACGACACCAGAAAATCCACACTGGTGAACGGGTGTATGAGTGTAAAGAATGTGGTAAGGCTTTCCTCCAGAAGGCCCACCTCACTGAGCATCAGAAGATCCACACTGGAGACAGGCCCTTTGAGTGCAAAGACTGTGGGAAAGCCTTCATCCAGAGCTCTAAGCTGTTGCTGCATCAGATTGTTCACACTGGAGAGAAGCCTTATGTGTGCAGTTACTGTGGTAAAGGCTTTATACAGAGATCCAACTTCCTTCAGCACCAGAAGATGCACGCTGAAGAAAAGCTCCACAAGTACAATCAGCATGGAAAAGATCTTACCCCACCCCCAGATCTTGTCCACCAGGATGCCCTTCCCTTGAGTGATACCTCCATTCATTTAGGCGAGAGGTCAGCAGATCCGCAGTGTTGTGCAGATAATTTATAAGACACTCTCTGAATAAGTGGTGCTTGGAAATGGCCACACTTAGTATATATATATGGCCTCTCAGATGTGGATTGTCACAGTTTTCCAAGTCACAAATGGGCTGCTTTTGGTTAGGTTCGCTGTCTGTTACCAGGGCAGGAAAGCTAAGGGCCTGGACAACTGTTTCCTGAGCTGTACACTGAGGTAGAGCCTCTAGAGAACTTTCTAGATTTTATTTGAAGTTAAAACACACCCTCAAGTTAAATCCTTTCGGAGCAGAGTTGTATTATTACTTGAGAAATGGTTACCTATCTGAAAGGTTGGAGAAAGGGGCTTTTCTCATGGAAAACTGAAAGTTGGTTCCCTGTTGTCTGGGACTAATTAATCTCCAAGCCATAGGGTTTAGTCTCTAGCCGTGTTTCCTCAATTGTCTGGCTCCTGGCAATACAGTTGATGTGTATTGCCACCCACATCCTTCAGGCTGCTCCCCCTCCTGATGCTTCCCCTTTTCCCAAGTTGCTCCTGATTATTATGTGAGATCTCTCTCAGGCATCATGCCCAGAAATGCTTTCCTAGTACTGAACTGGGTTTATGTCTTGTGCTCCTGTTGCACGGTGCTACTGTGCTGGCTTTTAAATACCACAGTTAAGAATTTTCTCTTTCTCATTATGATCTTTTTCCGGAGGACAGTAATCGTGTGTCATTGATTCCTATGTCCATAGTGTCTAGCACATGACAATAAATGAAACAAAAAACCCAAATCTGTGTAATTGGCATATCCTTTATCTGTCTGTTTTTTTTGAGACAGTGTCCTACCCTATGACCCAGACTAGCCTCAAACTCACAGCCTTTCCTTAGCCTCTTGGGTGCTGGGAATTCAGATGTGTGCTACATCGCTTTCTACCAATCTTTGTTGCTATTTTTAAATTTGGGGGTGTTTGTTTTGTTGTCAGTGTGATCTGTTCTAGGAAGTACTGTCTCTCCAAGTTCTGATGATGCCTGCTTCTGGTAAGAGTTGCTGACAGTCTCCTGTCTGCAGTTACTGCCCACCAGGTATGGCCGAGTCCTCCCTCAGAGCTGTCCTCTACTTTGAGGATAGTGCCCTCATTGCTCTTTCTGTTTCAGCAGCTCCAGACCCACCTGTGTCTTTCTAACATTGCTTGTTTGAAAATGTGTCAAGATCTGTAAAAGATAGGTTAGAAGGTGCCATGCATTCTATGTGGAGTATGCTGAGGAAGCCAGACGGATCACAGAACAGTAAGTGATGTGGGCACCAGTCCATGTAGGAGCCCTGGGTGAGGAGGCAACTAGTGTCACTGTGGATCGGGGACAGCTCCACGAGTGGATGTTGTAAAGGATCCAGAGAAGTCAGTGGGCATTTGTCAGCCTCAGAGGAGAAATTTGGGATAGTGTCTCCACAGACAGCAGACTCTGGGTTGCCCTTCTGCTCAGGGTAGTACATGGTGGATTCCAGCCTTCAGATGTGCTCATTTCTGCCTCTGGACTCCTTTGGTAAGAGCATTAACCACTACTAGTTTTGAGACAATATAAAATAATTCTCATCCTAGAGGGCATGGTTTTAAGTTTTTAACAAATTCCAGCAACCCCCGAAACTTCAAGTAGGCAGGTAATTTTAAAAGGACATGTGATACCCATTTTTGGAAAACTTACTATCACATGACATAACTAATAGAGAAATGTTACCAGACCATTTCAGCCAGTACAACACAGTACCTACTTTTTAGAAAGTTTCTCTGCCCTTGGAGCAATACCATATTCAAGAAAAGTAACATTTCTTTTACCTTAAAAATTCCCCTTGTGCCCTTTCCAGAGTTGATCCAACCCTTGTCCCGGTAGCGACCTCCTGTGGGTGTAGAATGGCATTTCTTGTCCCAGAACCACCTACACATGGACTGGTGAAGTAGGTGCCCTTGTCTCTGACTTTGGTCACTTTGGCATGTTTTTAGAGTCTGTCAAATTGCTTTGCATTCGTTCTCTTGGCCAAGTAGGGTCCCATTGTATGGATAGACCATCATGAGCTCACTTGCTTATGGAAATTGGGATCTCAAGAATAAACTGGTATGAGCATTGTGTAAAAGCATTTATTTGCACATGTGTGTTTATTTCAGGTAAATACAGCTTTTATTATACCGGTTAGGTATACAGCTTAAGTGATTGTAACAGAACAATGAAAACTGGGTGGCTTGTAGACAGAAGGAATGTATTTTGCACAGTATTTGATTCTGAGGTACCCAAGGTCTGGTGAGGCTCTCATGGGTGGGTGCCTTCTCCCTGCAACCCAGCAGAGCGGAAGAGTTAGGGAGATTTGCAGAAGTCCCAACCACAAAGCTTCTGCTTATGAGTCAGTCACTTCTCAAAGCCCTGCCTTTTGATACCATCACTTTGGGGATTAGGATTTCAAAATGAACTTGGGGGAGGACACGTATGTTCAGTCTGTTACAGTAAATACTTTTTTAGCTTTATGCAAAGTTGCTGCAGAGAACTCTGGTGCTGTACTGCCCTGTGTTCCTGATGGTGTGTGAGTGCTCGAGATGCTCCCTGTCCTTGCCTGTGCCTGATATTGCCAGTCCATTCTGGGTTCTGTTTTTGTTATTGCTCTGTTTGGCTTTGTTTTGGTTTTTGGAATTGTATTGCTGTGTAGTTCAGACTGGTCTTAAATGATAATCCTGGGTAGCTTTACAGATTGTATTGTAGATACAAGCTACCATGATCAATTTGTAGTTTTAATTTTGTTTTTTGACAGACTCACTGTGCAGCCTTGGCTGTCATGGAGTGACAGTGTAGATTAGATTGGGCCCAAACCCACAGAGATACACCTGCCTTTGCCTTTTGAACACTGAAATTTAAAGATGCATGTCACCATGCCAGACCTTTGTATAGTTTTTTTTTGTTTTGTTTTGTTTTGTCTTGTTTTTGTTTTGTGTGTTTGTGGTTTTTGTTTGTTTGTTTGTTTGTTTTTGCAAAGCACCTTTCTAAGGTGCTAGAGAAATGGTTCAGTTGTTAAAAGCATTGGTTCCTCTTTCAGAGGACCTAGGTTTGATTCCCAGCACCCACTTGGAAGCTCACTGCTGTCTGTAACTTGAGTTCCAGGTTATCCAGTACCCTCTTCTGGCCTTCTTGAGCACCAGGAATGCACGTGATACACAGATATGTGTTGGCAAAATACCTATACACATAATAAATAAAAATTAAAACAGTTTTCCTTCCAAACTGGGCAGGGTGCCTTTCAGCTATAATCTGAATGGCTTGTAGGAGATGGAGCTGGGTTGGAGAAAGTCAGACTGGGGGCCTGTTACGCCCTCAGACCTCCCCTTCCCCATCCTCACTGTCTAGTCTCTGGCTGCCCTGAAGTGGGCAGCCCCCTCCCCTTCCACTGCCTGGTCTTGCTATCATCATGTTTCTGCCTCACCACAGTCCTACAGCAGCGAGGCAAACTCCATGGACCACATAAACCCTTTGAAACCATTGAGTACAAATAAGTCTGCATTTGTATCAACTTCAGATCTGTTGCCACAGCAAATGAAAAAGTAACAAGTTTCAAAGTCCCTTTTCATTTTGAACACATGTGCACACATTCTTGTTAAAAAAGCTGAGCTCAAATGGCTGGAGAGATGGTTCAGAGATTAAATGAACTGCCTGCTCTACCAGAGGACCCAGGTCCACTTCCCAGGACCTATCTAATGGCTCGGAATCATCTGTAACTTCAGTTCTGACACCCTTTTTTGGCTCCTTGGGTGCTGGATATATATGTAGGGGAAACATCCACAACCATAAAGTAAATTAAAATACTTGGTGTTGGCGTGTTTTTAGCTGTTTTATTTGGGTTCTTACATCCACCACCCTTCTACACCCCAATCCCTTCCAACACTCCAGGCAGGAGAGACAGAAGGTTAGTGGGAAGAGGGGGTGTTAAGACCTTTTTACTACTCCCTGCTGATTAGAGGTGGTGAGTTCTTTTGGGGAAGTCCAAAGTATCATCTCTTTTCTTACAACCACCTGACAGAGCAGCAACAGTAGCATCAGGAGCAGAAACCAGCAGGAGGAACAGCTGCATCTCCTCCTTCTCAACGTGCCCCTGCCCCTCTTGGGGCCCTGGCATTTATCCTCTCCAAAAAGTTCTCAGTATTCAAATGCTAACTATTCTCAGCTGGCAAAACCATCAAAGTCAGAGTCAGGAGACAAATAATGAGCAGCTACTGAAAATCTGACACAGCCTCATATCCCACATTTGGGGTTAAAACAATAACATATTCACATAATGTAACTGGGTTTTCTTTGTTGTTGTTTTCTTTGTTTTTGTTCTTTTTTTTGAGACAGGGTTACTCTGTAGCCCTGGCTGTCCTGTAACTCTCTTTTGTAACTCTCTTTGCTTTGAACTCACAGAGATCCACTTGCCTTTTGAGTTCTGGGATTAAAGGCCTGAGCCACCATACCCTGCTCTTAACTAGGCTTTTTAAGAAAACAAAATTCTCACTACAATTCTGTTTTGTTTCAAGACAGGGTTGATTTGTGTAACCTTGGAACTAACTCTGTAGATTAGGGTGGCCTCAAACTCAGAGATCCGCCTGCCTCTGCCTTCTGAGTGCTGGGATCAAAGGCATGCACCACCACTGCCCAGATAGAGTCTTGATGTCCCCTACTGGGGGTCTGAAACAGCCACTATGAGAGAAATGAATCAGTCACCTGACATTCTTCAACTGGCCACTCACCGGTTCTTTCTAGCCATGGTCAGCTGAAACCAAAAGGGAAACTCAACCTACTTTCTGCCCTCTTCGTCTGAAACCTGTAAGAAGGAACTGGAACTCTGCCCGGTAGGCCTGAACATTTCTCAGAGCCCCTCCCCATGCCCTTGTCTACCTGTCTATAGCATTAATATTTCTTCTAATAAATCTTTCATCAAAAGGATAATCCATCTCAGTCACCTCTTTGAACCTTGAAACTAAAACCTTTCAAACGGGGAAACGAATAAAACATACAATTAACACACAAATGTGAAGTATAATGACGTGAGAAGTGTGCGTTTTCTATATAAAAGACAGCTTGTTGGTAGATCTCCTGAGTTTGAAGTCAACCTGGTCTACATTCCAGAAGAGCCAGAACTACACGATGACATCTTGTCTCAAAAATAAAAGATAGCTTGCCTACCAATGGGTGGAAATGTGTGTGTATACATACATACATACATGTAGCCCTGGCCATCCTGGAACCCACTCTGTAGACCAGGGTGGCCTCGAAAGGCGTGCACCTCCACAGTCCGGCCATGGGATATTATTCTTTTAAGTCTCCACCTTTACAATCATCACCTTTTTTTAATCTTTGAGACAAGGTCTCTACTGTTTAGCTCAGGCTGTCCATGAGCTTGCCATGTACATCAGGCTGCCCACATACTCAGAGATCCACCTGCCTCTGCCAAATTCTGGGATTAAAGACCTGTACCATCATGCCTGGCTCTTTGTTCTGTTCTGGCTTTTGAGACAAGGGTTTCTCTTTCACCTTTAATCTTTCCCACCTTGTAAAACTTATGCAAACCTTTCCATTTCTCCTACCAGGTAAAACTTGTTTATTACAAAGGCCTGGCTTCATTTTGGGACCTTGACAGCCTGATGGCTGAGCCTCTCTCCATTTCCTTTGCACTGATTCCTTTAAAACTAGCCAATTGCAAAAGACTGAGGTCAGACCCCAGCAAACAGCAAAAAGATAGTTACAACCTACAGTAGAATAATAACCAAGTGAACTTCCTATCTTGGTGCACTTATAGTAGGATTTGGGTTCTGGTGCATCCGATTTTACAAGAAGAAATTAACCTTGCCAAGCTACTCTGTTCTGTGCTACTTTGTGCAACACCAAGATGAATGCTTCTAACATAACATACCACTTTCAATCAGTTATGATGGTTTCAATTTTGTTTATTTTGGTTTTTTGAGGCAGGGTTTCTCTGTGTAGCCCTGGCTATCCTAGATTCCCTTTGTTGGAATTTACAGAGATCCTCCTGCCTCTGCCTCCCGTGTACTGGGATTAAAGGTTTGTACCACCAGCAGCCAGCAATGCTTACAATTTAAGCAAAACCAAAAGCCCAGAAACAGCCAGGAGGGGTGTGGTGACACACGCCTTTAATGCCAGTACTAGGGATGCAGAGGCAGGTGTAAAGATGTGCGTTTGACGTCAGCTTGAGCTACAAAGTGAGTCCAGGACAGCCAGGGCTACACAGAGAAACCCTGTCTTGAAAAACCAAAACCAAACCCCTCCCCCAAAAAACAAAACAAAACACAAAAAACCAGAAACAACTCTCAGTAGAACAATAACAGGATGGAGGAATTTGGACCTCTCTGGGCTACTGCTTTAGAGCACAGGTGCACCTGATGTAGAAAGTGCGTTAATTCCTCAACAAGTCAAACACAGGATTAACACATAATCTAGAAAATTTAAGAATCTCTATCTTCTGAATTCACAGCCCAAAGAAGCGAACGTGAACAGATAATGTACACCCATGTTCTCAGCACCCTTGTTCAACATAAACCACAAGAGGCTTCTGTACTGGGTGGGCCCTTAGCAGACCAGACTCAACAAAGGTGTCAACCGTAATCATGTCTCAGGCATCAAAGGAAACTAGGTTAACTGACCTTTTGGGAGAGGGTGGATTTCCGTGAGCAAGGCAGAAGAGTCTGCTCTGCTTTCATCCTTACACGAAAGCACCTGGATTAACCCAGTGTTCCTGCAGTTGGTTTTTTCTATTCTCTGTCTCTGCCTTAGGAAGAAAGTAACTGTGACAAGACCAAGTTTTGTTTAGTTTGTTTGTTTTTGTTTTTCGAGACAGGGTTTTGCTGTGTAGCCCTCGCTGTCCTGGAATTTGCTCTGTAGACCAGGCTGGCCTGCAACTCTCAGAGATCTGCCTGCCTCTGCTTCCCGAGGGCTGGGCTCAAAGGTGTGTGCCACTGCTGACACCTGTCAGGACCAATCTTATTTCTGCCTTTATCTTTCTTTCCTTTAGATCTTCCCTCTGTATAAAACAAACATCTGCTCAACTCGTGGGATTCTCTTATTGTGTAATAAAGTGTTATCTAAATTAGAATTACAATTAAGTTTGGATCTTTAGAATTAAGTTTGTTATTTAATTATAATTATGATCCAAGTGTCCTTTGACTGATGAGAAACAGAATGAGGTAGGAAATCAGACATGAACCGACATGAACCTGGCAAACATCGGATCTAGACAGTCATAGGACAAATTAGAAACAAAGCAGCTTCGGCTGCTTGAGAGGAACTGGAGAAAGGTTCTCTAGGGCAGGGAGATTCCTGATTTGCATGATAAAGAGCTTTCAATATGCAAAAAGCAAAACCGTGCTAGTCTAGAACACTATGTAACTCAACAGGTTAAGACGGAAGCTGTGTTATTACTTGTACTTTATCATACATAAAAGAAAAGTCGGGCGTAGTAGCGCACGGCTTTAATTCCATCACGAGGAGTCGGGGGAGAAGGGGCAGGGGCGGGTGGACTTCCGAGTTAGAGGCCAGCCTGGTCTACAGGGTTCCAGGATAGCCAAGGCTACACAGAGGAACCCTGTGTCAAAACTCCGACAAAACAAAAACCTCCTCCAAGAGGACTCAGGAGAGCCACATCCCAGCCAGCCTCCACGGTGGGCCGACCTGCAGGCCAAGGGCGAGCCGATCACGAAGGCTTTCAGCCAGGTGCACACTAAGGGCGACCGCCCGCAGCAGACGGAGGGCGTGGCCTCTGGGGCCCGGCCGGCCCACACTTCCGCCTACCCGCAGGCTCGTCTGGCGCGCACCATCGAGTCGCCGCTCCTAGAGTAGCTGCAAGCGGCTTCAGTCGCTGGCGTATTTCCGCTGGAGAGTTGAAGTCAGGGCGGCGGGCGGCGGAATTGAGGGCTGAAGCCGCCGGAGCTCAAGAGTTGTCCGGTGCCGGTCTTGCATGCTGCTCCGCTCCTCTCCGCTCCGCACCACCGCGCTTGCGCTGAAGCCGACCCGACCCCGGGCACCGCCTGAGGCCTTCAGATGCGCCCCCATCTCGCTGCCGCTGCACCCCGGGAGACTCGACACGATCGCTGTTTCCAACCGGGCAACGCTGGTCCCGGGCGGGCTAACCGCGAGGCTCCTCGGGTGAGTCTGGACCCCCTACCCCCACCCCCGGCCCCCCGGTCCCCTTTGTCCCCACGGCACCCGCGCTCCGGTTTCCTGCCTCTTCGCTGGTACTGCTCTCGGTCAGCCCTCGGGTCTCGGTCCAGGTCTCTGTCGGTTTCTGCCATCCAGGACTGCTGTCTTCTGTTTTAGGGTGGATTTCCCACACTCCCTGATCTGGCCTTGAAGTCCAGCCAGGCTTGGGGCACATGTTCTGGTGTTCAGAGGAGAGAAAATACTCTTACTTTATCATCCAGATTTTGTGGTTGGCAGTCACCCGTGTTTCCCAAGCTTCAGGTCTTCCAGCTGTGTCCCAGCTTTGCGGCCTTGCCAATCAAGTATGGGTAATCATGCAGATAAGCACTTTTATAGATGACTAGTCCTGTCGCAATGTCGCAAGGTTGAATGCCTCCAGGCTCAATTTTTGTGATAGCTGTTAAAATAATTTACCTGCTTTGTTTTGAGGTAAAGTCTCCCTTTTGTATCCTGGCTGGCCTGAACTTTTGCCGACCCCTTTGCTCCTGTCTGCTTAGTGTTAGTACGGCTTATTTCTACCCCTTTAAAATGTTTTTCTCTTTTTCCCGTAGTTTGTAGAAGTTATTCTGGATACTAGTTCTTTGGGAGAAAAATAAATTGGAAATCTTTTCTCTGTGGCTTGCCCTTTCATCTCCCTAAGTCCCTTTTAGAACCAGAAAACCTTTTTGGTTGGTCCACTACATTTTTTATTTTGTTTGGCTTGTTTTTTAAGTACCCCAGACTGTCTTTGACATAGCTATGTCGGCAGAGTTGATAGAATGGTTAATTTCTCAACTTGACACAATCAGAATCATTTGGGAAGAATGTCTCAATAAAAGATTTTTAGCTCAGGTTGGCTTATGGGCATGTCTGTGGGACATTGCCTTGATGAATTTAATGATATGGGCAGACCCAGGTTTGGGTCCCTGGACTATGGAAATTAGAGAAAGCTAGATTGAGTTCTAAAAATGTATTAGTTCATTCTTCTGCTTTTGACTATGTGACTAGCTGTCTTTAATCAGTGGACCCACTGTAACTTGGAATTGTAAGCTAGTTAAGCCTTTCTTCTCTAAATTTTGTTTTATTTTTTGGTCTGGATTTTATCACAGCAGCAGAGATGAAACCTGGCCTTGGGATCTTTTGTTCTTTTATTTATTTTTTTTTTGGGGGGGGGGGGGGCGGACCGGGTCTCTATAGCCCTGGCTGCTCTGGAACTATGTAAGCCTTGCTGGCCTGGACTTGGAGTTCTTCTAGGATTAGCATGTGTGGGCCAACAATCCTGGGCCTTGCCCTGAACTCTTGCTCCTTTTGTCTTTGGTGCTTGGATTATAGGCCTACCCCAGCAGCAGCTTTTATTTATTTGTTGGAAATTTTTATTTACTGTGTGTATATATTTGAGTGTGGGGCGTGAATGTGCCACTCTGCATATTTCTCCTTCCACTCTATGAGTCCAGGGGATTTAACCCACATGACATCTGTCATTTTTACCTGCTGAGCCGTCCAACTTTTTTCTTTTCCTTTTTTTTTTTTTTTTTTTTTCTTCAGTTTTCCAAGACAGGGTTTCTCTGTGTAGTAGTCTTGGCTGCCCTGGAATCGCTTTGTAGACCAGACCAGGATGGCCTCACAATGATCCACCTGCCTCTGCCTCCCTGAGTGCTGGGATTAAAGCCATGCACCACTATGCCTTGCCAACTTTTTTCTTCTCTTTTCTTTTTTTTTTTTTTTTTTTTGTATTTTGAGACAGGGTTTCTCTGTGTAGCCCCTGGCTGTTCTGGACTCCTGTTCTGTAGACCAGGCTGGCCCAAACTCAGAGATCCACCTGCCTTTGCCTCCCTGAACGCTGGGATTAAGACGTGTGCCACCACCCCGTTTTAGCTTTCTTCTTTTAAAGTTGATGCTTTTTGTGTCCTGTGAGCATAGTCTTTGCCTGCCTGCCTTGAGTTTATGAGGAAAATGTAATGTCACTTTCTTCTACAAGCTTTCTTAATTTTAAAGCTTTTGTTTGGAGATAGGGTCTTACTGTGTAGCTTTGGTTGACCCAGAACTAGATCAGCCTCCCAGACCCGACTGCCTCTGCCTTCCAAGTCCTGGGATTAAAGGTGTGTACCAGGGGCTGGAGAGCTAGCTCAGGCTGCTCTTCCAGAGGGACCCAGTTCTAAGATGTGTACCACACACCCAGCATAACCGTCTTTATTTGTATCATTGCTTTTGTCATAAAACATCTGTCATGGTGACAGTCAGGGCTACTCAGTGAGACCCTGTCTCAGGGAGGGAAGGAAGAAAAAAGGAAGAAAAAAATTTAACTCTTTATGGATCCTTTTTCTGATGGGTCTATTCCTTTGAACTGTAAGCCTGTCTTTTGAGTTTTGGGGATGGAGGGGGGGGGTGCTTGCTTTGTTTTTGAGATAGGATCTCTCTATGTACCCATAGCTATCTTGGAACTTGCTCTGTAGACCAGGCTGGCCTCGAACTCAGAGATCCACCAACCTCTGCCTCCCAAGTGCTGGGATTAAAGATGTGTGCCACCCACCACAGGACATCGCTCACTTGCACTTTAAAATGGCATTCAAACGGTATCTCAGATCTTTCGAGGTGATCAAATTGATTGTAGCTTTGGTTTTCTCCTTTGTCCTATTAATTTAGTAGTTTTTTCTTGGGAAGCATGGACAGATCTGTTAGCCCCAGATAAATACAGTGATTATAGTAACTTAACTTGACACCTGGGATGGGCCTCTGGGCATGCCTTTGAGGAATTTTTCTTTTCTCCGTTTACTTTGAGGCAGTCTCTCTTTGTATCTTTGGCTGGCCTTTGGCTCACAAAGATCCACATCCCTCAGCGACCACACCCAACTAGGGGAGATTTTCCTAATTGGTTAACTGAAGTGGAAAGATCCACCCTGACCCTGAGTGGCAGCATTTCACCCACAGACTCCTTTGTCAAATGAAGGAGCTGAGCATAAGCAGGCTTGAGGGATTGGTGGGTCAGTTTTAGTGAGAGCGTAGTGGCCCTCCCGCCTCCCATTACACTGTTAACAATCTCATGACCGGTGCGGCACACGTAGTTATTACTGTGCTGTTTGCTTATTGTGTTGTCCTGACTACAGAATCAATATCATCTCTGTTTCTTGACAGCAATGGGAGGATCTGGAGGGATGATCATACTCTGCCTCAGCCGAACCAAAGCAGTGGCTAATGATGGCTCATTTCTTTCTTTTCTTTTTGATTTTTCAAGATACATTTTCCCTGTGTAGCCTTGGCTGTCCTGGAACTTGGTCCCCAGTTCAGGCTGCCTGCCTCTGCCAGCCGGGTGCTGGGATTAAAGGCATGTGCCACTACAAGGCTTGTGCCACTGCATTGCCTCCTTGGTTCGCTTTCAATGGCACAGGATATATTGGGGAGTTACATGCCCAGCACAGTGGGGAAATTTTCTGAATCAACTTTTCTTGTTGTTGCGACTAAAGCAGCTTAAGAGAGGAGGGGTTTGTTTAGGCTTGCAGGTTGAAGGGATACAGCCCATCATGGTGGCAGGCAGGAGTGTTTGCTGAAGCTGGACAGATAGCATCCTTGGGCAAGAGCTCAACCGGCTCTTCCCCTTTCTGTTAGACTGGAACCACAGCCCAAAGGACAGCAGTGCATGTATTTCAGGGTTGGTTAGACTTCTGTGGAAACACCCTCACAAATACATCCAAAGGTGTATCTCCTAGGTGTTCCTCAATGAATATTAACCATCATAGATATACTTGCCTTACCCTTTCTTCCTGTGCTGTGTGTGGGTTTTAGCATGCTCTTTCTGACTCGCTGTCTCTCGGTAGCAGGCAGTCCTAGAGCCATCTGTGTGCCGGGTGCCAGTGACCTTCAGAGATGTGGCTGTGTACTTCTGCAGGGAGGAGTGGGAGTGTCTCAGCCCTGGCCAGAGGACTCTCTACCGGGATGTGATGCTGGAGAACTTCAGGAACTGCACTGAGCTGGGTAAGGACTACATGTTAGTTTCTGGAGCCTGGTAGGTCCTGGCTAAAGACCCCTGTGCTGTGTCTGGTATCTTTTAGCTCCCCTGGTGGCTTCTTTCCTCAAACCCTTGGGCCTTTGCAGGGGCCTGGTGTCAGTGCTCACGTTCAGGCATGCATACTTCTGTCTCCCTCTTCCTTGTTCCTGCTTCCAGGCACTTCTCCAGGGATCTACAGGGGCTGGCCAGGCTGCTGGGTTCCTCTTGTGTTCCCCAGAGTCAGTCTGAGTCCTAGCCTTACGTTGTCTTTTACACAAATCAGACACTATCTCTCACTTTTGAAAAGGGTACTGTGGCCCAAGACCAGACCTTGTTTCTCACCTGCAAGAGTGGGATGAGCCATGGGTTGAAGACTGGGACAGATCTGAGTCTCTGGAAGCACAAAAAGGTGTCTGCCCAGGTAAGCGAGATGCAAGTAGACTGCTCTTGGTTGATCCACCCCAAATTTCCTGGCACTAAGACCACTTTTCCACCCTCACACAGACACAGAGGGAGAGTGGATGAAGAGCTCCTTCTGAATTAGGGACTTTGGAGCTGGCGTGAGTGGCATACTTCTGCCACTAAGCTCTGACGGGAGGGATGTGGACCCTTGTAGTAGAAGAGAGGTATTTGAGAAAGGGAGACAGTGTCCTAGCACTGTCTGTCACGAGTGTAGGAGTGGCTGAGATCTTACTGTAGTAGCCATTTGGCAATACAGACAGACACAGAGAGAGTGTGTGTGTATGTGTCTCAGTCTGACAGCATCATGCTCCAGGTTTATGACACCTGGGCAGGTTCTCTGTTTCAAGTATGTTTGCTCATTTGTAAAATTAGGATAAAGCCTTGGCCCTTCAGACATTCCCAGTGGTGGTCATGAAAGGGATTTTGTTTTCTTTTTGTCATAGTGGTCATGGAACCCAAGGCTTTAGGTAAACATTTATCTGTCAGGCTATAACACAGTCCAGGTCCATGCCCCACCCCCCAAGAGAGGGTTTTTCTGTATAGCAGCTAAGAGCTCTGGCTGTCTTAGAACTCACTCTGTAGATGAGGCTAGCTTCAAACTCACAGAGATCTGCCTCCTGATTGCTGGGATTAAAGGCATGTGCCATCACTGCCCAGCTCAGGTTTTGTTTTTTATTTCATATCCTCTCAGAAGTGAGATCAAGCAGCTTTGTGAGCCTGAGACAGGTGGGAGGTCCCCAGATTATGTGGAGCCCCCAGCTGAAGAGTGTATCAGGCCCCTGTTTGCAGGAAGCTTATGGCTGGCAGAGTGGGTAGTTCTAAATTGTAGAGAGCTCTCAATGCCTGCCCCAGGTCCACCTCCATGATAGGAACAGGTTCTATTACAAGAGCTGACACAAGCTTAATGGGCACCTAAGTGGTATTTTTTTAGTTCATTTAAACCCATTTATGCTGGGTAATGGTGGTACCCTTTTAATCCCAGCACTTGTAGGCATTGGCAGGTGGATCTCTGAGGTTGAGGTCTACAGAGTGATTTCCACCAGGACAGCCAGGGCTACACAGAGAAACCCTGTCTCCAAAATATGAAACCAAAAACCAATTTCTTTTGTGTCGTTGTACCAGTCCCTGTCTTCCACTGTCTGGGTCAGGTGAACATCAGGATTCACTTTCCAGTCCCCCATTGTTAGTTTAAGCTCATCTGTGTACAATCAACAATTTTTTGTTCTCCATAATTCATGCCACTTTTCTTTGACTCCCTAAGTAGACTGAGTTGATTTGACACTTGGTAGCTCTTCTTCATCCTCTGTTGGGTGGTTCTGTGTAAATGCATCTGTTCCTCCACAGGAGGCAGAAAGTCCATAGATCATAAGAGACCCCGTGATCTTCTTGCTTCGGCTCATGAGAAGGTCTGTTCGCAATCAGGAGCCAAGAGAGGGGCTGCCTTGAGGAAGAGTGTCCTGACATCCAGTAAGATACACCTTCCCAGAGCTACCTCAGGGAGGAAAATGGACAAACACGAAGCTTTCCAGAACCAGATGTGTGGAAGATCCCGCAGGAAGCAGCCAGGCCTCAAGGAGCAGTGCAAGAGCGGTGTAGAGGGGCATCCGTTTATCTGTGGCACGTGTGGGAAGGCACTGAGCTGCCATAGCCGGCTAGCTGCTCATCAGACAGTCCACACTGGAACTAGGTCGTTTGAGTGCTTTGAGTGTGGCCAGACATTCCGCTGGGTTTCAAACCTTCTTCGGCACCAGAGAAATCACACGAGTGAAAAGCCCTTCTGCTGTGAGGTATGTGGACAGGCCTTCAGCTTGAAGGACCGCCTGGCCCAGCATCGCAAAATCCACACAGAACACCGGCCCTATGTGTGCAGTGACTGTGGGAAGGCTTTCAAACAGAAATCAAACCTCCTCCGGCACAAACTCGTTCACACGGGAGAAAGGCCTTTCTACTGTGACAGCTGTGGTAAGACCTTTCGTACTAAAGAGAATCTCAACCACCACCAGCGGATTCACAGCGGAGAGAAGCCTTACACCTGCGGAGAGTGTGGGAAAGCCTTCAGGTGGCCCAAGGGCTTCAGCATCCACCAGAGGCTGCACCTGACAAAGAGGTTCTATGAGTGTGAGCACTGTGGGAAGGGCTTCCGCCATCTGGGCTTTTTCACAAGGCATCAGAGAACTCATGGGCGGGGAGAGGTATAGAGGCATCTGTGGACAGCTGGACCTTTCCTGTTCTAGGCCCTGGGGAAGAACTACAGCAGGTGCTCTCAAGCCTAGAGGCCATGTAGTCCTTGAAACAACCGTTTGCAAATCTCTGAGGAAGTTGTGCCAGGATATTGACAGAGGGAAGGGGACTGAAGTATGCTGGCAGAGCCGGCAAAAGCTGCTCCTTGCTTCTCTGCTGTGTCAACTGAGGAATTTGCCCCTGTCCCGAGTGTCACTTGTGTGCACTTTAACTCTTTTCTCTCATAGCCCTTCCACCATGTCTCCTGTGTTTGGGGAGGTAGGTTTGGGCCTTGAGCTTACTCTTGGAGCTGGTAAGATGGCCCAGTGGGTAAAGGCACTTGCTGCAAAGCTTGATAACTGAGTTTGGTTCCCAGGGATGCACATGATATGTGGAGAGAACCAAAGGCCATAAGTTGCCCTCTGACTTCCTGCACATGTGTGTGCATAAGGACACACAATAAATACATAAGTCAATGAAAAAAAAAAAAAAAAAAGCCTCCTCTGCAACCTCAGGAGGTGGTCATAGACATAGACACCCTTGTTAAAGGGCTACAGAGACCTGGATTCACACTGGGCTGGCATGTAGAAGTTTGTTAAAGCATCCCCAGCTCTTTCTCCAGCGGTTTACTCAGCTAGAGATACTGGATCTTGGGTTCTGTTTATTTGGTTTCATTGAAGTATGACTGGAGGGTTATTTCCCAGTGGGGTGGGAGTACTACCTGGAGCTTCGGTGCCCCTTTGCTTCAGGTGTGATCCTTGGTAACCGTGTAGAGCTGTCCAGTGCTGGGCAGGGAAGGGTGGCTGGAGCCTTCGCTTCTGGGTGTGTTGAGAGCTGGATGCTCCTCACTGTCTTGTTTCTCTGTACGGGATCATGAGCTGTAGAGATGGCTGCCAAACTAGGCCTTTTCCCAGCTTTTGTTCCTTCAGGAATGAAACTCCACTAAAGTGTCACAGGCTGTGACCACAGCATGCAAAAGTGATGATTTCACCCGCCGTTGCCCGAGGTGCTTCTCAGTTCAGCTCTGACCCTGGTGCCTTGGGAACTGTTCATGGCCTAGAATTAGCCTGGCCCTACAGCGGTGTGAGGTGGCCATGTGCATGCATCACGGGGCATCTTCAGTTCTAAATCAACATGCCAGTTTTTCAGACAGAAATTTGTCTACCAGGTGGAGCTCATGGACCTAGCCCTGCTCTCTGCAAGCTGATCGAGAAACCAAACTCTTTTGTCTTCATTATAAATCAGGTTAACTCTAGATCTGATAACAGGAATCCAGGTTCTAATCATAGCACCCACATGACAGCTCACAACAGTCTGTAACTCCAGTTCCAGGGGATCCAACACCTTCTTCTGGCCTCTGTGGACACCAGGCACATGTGGTGTGTAGATGTACATGTAGGCAAAACACCCATACACATACTTTTTTAAAAAGTGTCAGTTACCAAATGCACGTGGGATTGGAAAGGAATTTATAGGAAATGGAAACCCAAAGAACAGATTCTGCTGAGAAAGTACTGAGCCACACCCCACAGGAGATGATACGAGATAACCCAGTAAATCAGGTGGAGCTGAGAGATGGCTTTGATCTTAATAAGCTGCCGTAAGTTTTCCAGATTCTTAAGTGTATGGCTCTGTTGCCTACATGTATACCTACAGCATGTGTGTACCTGGTGCCCACAGATGTCTGGAAGAGAATCAAATACCCAGCAACTAGATTTATAGATGGTCGTGAGCACCATGTGGGTACTGGGAACAGAACCCAGGTCCTCTGCAAGAGCTGTACGTTTTCTGAATCCCTAAGCCATTGCCCTAGCTTTAAAAACTTACTTAAGCCAAGCCTGATCCTCCTGCTTCTACCTCCTAAATGCTAAGATTATAGGTCACTGCAGTGTACCTGGTTTTATGCAGTCCCGGGGGTCAGACCCAAGACTAGGTATACATTCTAGTTGACACTTTTCCAATTGAGCCACATCCCCAGCCCTGTAAAAAGTAATTTTTCAGACCATAGAAAAGTGAACAGAGCTTTGGTGTTCAGGTGTATGAAGGAACTGGAAGTTAGCTGAGTATGTTTGAAATGTCTATAATTTCTTAATTTATACATACTGACAGTTGTTTAAGTCAGATGGTAAAGTTTGTTTGTGCTGGACACCATGACAAAATACCACAGACAGGGTAGCTTAACCAAACCATTTTCCTCAGGTCTGGGGGCTTGGAAGATCATAATGGCAGCATCTTATTTTCTGGTGAGACCTCTTCCTGATTTACACGAAGGGAAACTAGAGCCTTGTTCTTTCTGACAAAAGCACTGATCCCACTGGGGGGCCCATTCCTGTGATTTCATCCAGGGTGACTTCTTCAAGACCCCACATCTGCTCTAGTGCCATTGAGTTGGAAGTTCCAACATTAGAACTATTACAGCAGTTGTCCAGGTTCACTTCTGTACGTCAGGAGCCAGTGAATGGGTGTGTGTGTGTCCCATATTCAGATGGTATTGTTTACACTTGGATAAACAAAAATACATGCTTGCCTTTCACCTCAGGACTGCCAGGCAGAGCGGTCTGTTCTATGTCCAGTGGGTGGAGTTGGGAAGGCCTTTCATACGTAGGAGAGGTAGAAAGGCCTGCTGTGGAGCACATTGCCTTGAGTGTGGGGAGTGGGCGCTTTGACCTGAGTGGTTTTGTTTGCAGTTGTGGAGATTGGATCTACACAGAGCTAGGCAGGTGCTGCTGAACTGCCTCCCTAACTGTCTTTGACACAGTCTGATCTTGAATTTGCCAGCCTCCTGCCTCAGCCCCCACAAATGGTTGGGCTCACAAGCCTACACTGCCAGTCCCTGTAGACCTGAGTTTTGAGTGCTTTTCCAGAACCAGCTGGCATCTACCTGATTTAGTTTTGTTTGGTGTGTGTGTGAGTGCATGTGTGTGTGAGTGCATGCGTCTCATGTTTATGTGTGTGCATATATTTTCCTGCAGTGGGCATAGGGACAGTGAAGGGAACAGCAGAGTGGTTTCATCTCACTGTCTACCCACTGCCTTCTCAAAGCCGAATAAAGGGGTCTCATTGGTGTTCTGTAAGCAGGTGAGTGGTCAGCAGTTTCTCAGGACCACATCAGCCCTGTAGGGTGTGTGTGCTCGGGGCTACTTGATTGTCCCATGGGGCCAGCAAGTGGCAGAACTGTGCCTATGACCTTGATCCCAGGCAATACTCACTTGTCTTGGCCAGCAGGCTATAAACCATGTGACATTCACTGATGACCTTGAACCAGAGGTGAAAAGTCTGGACAAAAACCCACCAATTCCTGAACTCCCTAAACTCAGGACTTCAGATCTCACCAATCCTCACTTTACTAATCCCTGCCCAGCAAACTCCACCCCCTAAGAAATCCTATATAAAGACTGCATGCGTCCAGTTCCCTACTATCTTCTGGGAGCAGAAGCAGCCACTCTTGGATTCATCTCTCCTCTGCTGGATTTGTCCCTCCAGTCTCTGGTGTGACTACTGCCTGGTGAGACTCATCAGAAGAAGCAATGAAGAGAAAGAAGCAAAGAAGGAGCAGGGCTTAAGACTCCTAAGCTCCTCAGTTCCTCAGGGGTTGTGCTAACTCTCCTGTGGGAGCTGCAAGGAGACCTCAGAGCTGTGTGGTTTTTGGGTTCCATATCTCAGGATACTCTTGGGACACTGTCCCACCTCAGAGCTGGGATACCTTCCCAGGCCTTGGAGTTGTGGCATACCCTTCCCAGGATACCCTCCCATCCAAGTACCAGTAAGGCCAACAACAAGAAAAACCACCATGACCAAAAACAACTTAAGTTTCCAGAGGGGTATAAGAGTCCATGTGTAGGAGACACAGTGGCAGAAGCAGGAAGCTGAGAACTCATCCTCAACCACAAGCACTAAGCAAAGACAAAATTGGAAGTAGGATGAGGCTTTTAATGGAAAAGTGTGCCCCCAGTGACACACTTCCTCTAGCAAGGCAGTACTTCCCAAATTGCCCCCCCCCCCCATAGTACCACCAACTCAGGGACAAGCACTCAAAACACCAAAGCCAACAGGGGAACATCCAGAAGTGATGGTACTCATTGGCAACCACAGAGAGATCGAAGGAAGGATTCCGTTCAGGTCCAGCCTGGTGAACCTATATATTATTTGACTTGCTTTACAGCAGCTGCACAACAGAGATGCTTCATACCAGGTCCCACCTTCAGTGAACACCCCACTTAATATACTCCAGCATTTCTGAGGACCGCCTGCAGCTGGGGCAAGATGAAGACAGAGTTGTAGGCTGGCAGCAGGCAGTGTCCAGAATCTTATGTGGTCTGATGAGCCACTCCCTTTACAGGGAATGTTAATGGGCTTGGTTTTCTGAGGGTGTCTGGGTAATCAGCTTAGAAGGTAGTGAGTGCTTCACGCTGCAGCATCTGAGGCTGGGCGGTGGTGGTCCACGCCTTCACTCCCAGCATTCAAGGTTTTTTAAATTGTTGCCTACACCTGTGTATGCAGCACGTGGCAGAGGCACGCAGATCTCTGTGAGTTCAAGGCGAGCCTGTTCTATAAAGCAAGTTTAGGAGAGCCAAGGCTACACAGAGAAACCCTGTCTCAAAAAACCAAACCAGACCCCCCCCCCAAAAAAAACAACAACAAAACCCAACCCTGTAGCATCTGAGGGGTGGGAGATGGCTCGCTGGATACAGTGCTTCCTGTGCAAACTTCCTTCCAAGTTTGGGTCCCTAACACTCACATAAAAAGCTTAATGAGGGGGGCTGGAGAGATGCTTCAGAGCTTAAGAACACTTACTGTTCTTCCAGAGGTCCTAAGTTCAATTCCTAGCAATCACATGGTGGCTCATACCCATCTATAGTGAGATCTGGTGCCTTCTTCCGGTGTGCAGGCAGAATGTTGTATAAATAATAATATTTTAATAAAAGCTTAATGAGCATGTGCCCCACCCTTAATGGTAGGGGCTGAACTCCTGGGGCAAGCTGGCAAGCTGGATTAACCTAGGTTCGGCAAGAGATCTCACCTCAGAGAGAGTGATCAAGGAAGACCCCGATGGTGTCGGGCTCTGGCCTTCACGAGCGCAAACGTATTTTTGCAAACCTCCATCTAGCCATACACAGCACATACAAGCAAGATTACACCATCTGATGTTATCTCTGAGAGGAGAGATGTTGTAGGCTGTTAATAATATTTACTATGGGTTTATCTTCTAGTAATGCTGCTGTTAATCCTCAACAGCTGTATAACCAAATCACACAGAGACTGGGTTTTTAGTTAACCTAGAACACAGTGCTGGGCAATATTTACTCCCTCCTAAACCTCCAAGCCCTCAGTTTCCTAACATTTAGATTTCCCACATTTTACTTGCTTTTTGTGAAATCTTAGGTCTGGTTCATGCTTTAAGTCCTCCAAGCTCTCTCCTCCCGCTCTGCTCTCCTCGCGCTCTCCTCTCCTCGAGCTCCTCCTCCTTCTCGCCCCTTCCTGTTCTCTAGCTCCTCCCTT